GTGAGTCGCGGGGATAGTTCATATCTAACCCTATAGACAACACAATTTTGAACAGAATAAAACCAAATTGATCGGGAAGACGCCCATCGTTTCTGATCTACAACAATTTTACTTTTGGTCAAAATGATGGAGATACAGATTAAATATTCACAGAGATCAATGGTAAACAGTGAGAGAATGTCCGCCATTCTCAACTCTATCCAATATCGTGCAATACCATATTCCCATTCATGAAACTGGTCGGCCGAGAAAAAGTGTTTCGGTCGATTCTGAAATTTTTGATCACAGAGTCTACGGATACTTAATACTCGCATGGACTGCGGGGCAGTGGTAGTCCACCTTTGAATGTGCCCGAGGGAGAAAAGAAAAGCAGGTAAAACTGCAACAGTGGATGGCGAACAAATAGTGATTCGTGTTGAACGAAAAAGGGTTCACTCACTAATACTTACGACAGAATCACGAGTGTGAGTATGTGAAATTTGCGCTTTTGAAATCGAATTTTTTTTCTCAAACAGCTCAGGGTAGGATCAGGGTTCCAGAAACAGTTACTCTGCACAGCTCTAGTTTGGGTTCAGCATGTTATATTTCACGTGATTCGCACGGCCAGAGCAAAGTGTTAACGTTCATAATAGAAAACGTTTGAGAAAGTTCAAATATTGTTTGACTTGCAATTTTGCGGACTCGGTATGGAATCGCAAGCTGGTTAACAGACTAGTAATTGATATTTTTTGTCGCATTATCCTTGATTTTCAATGTAGAGATAAATTCGTTATTTTTACTTGTTCCAGATATACTTCATATGATTCAGGATGCAGCAATTGTGTGCAATGAGTATGAATAGCGCGCGTAGTGGAACGATCGTTAACGGAGTTAAGTGTTGAGACACTCTAACGGAATTATAAAAGCTTTCGCTCTTGCCAGTCAGATTTATGTACGTTCGCAACAAGAAAACAACCATAATATCGCTCATCGTATTGTTCACGGGTGTTTCTTATTATTGCTATAGAAATATAACATATGATATTGATCAAAGTAACAGTAATGATGCTGTTGTTGACCCACCATTTCCAAGACTGCTGAATGTTGCTAACATATACAGCTCTGCAACATTAGATTCGACCTTTAACTTGATCCCGGAATGGTTTTAAATTGGCTGAATACGACGAAAGACAAAGCAGTGATAAAAGTGTTTTAGATAGTATTCCAGAAATACCTGTTGCTATAAACAAGAAAAGCAGAACGAAAGCAAAAGGAATACGAGCAATGTCAAGAATATGATGGATGTGGGGAATATCAAGAACACGAGGAACATGAAGGATGTGGGGAACATGAGGATATGAGCGTGAGAGTGATGGAAGGAATATGACAAATGCTAGGATTATTCTGCATATAAGGAAGGTTAGGAATATTATGCGGAGTTCGTCTATGGAATGTTTGGAAGGCTGTAAGTGCAATCTGTAGGTCAATAGTAACGTTTAGCGATATCAGAAAATGGTTAAATCCTGATTTTTGAGTGTGACATATATACGAGGAATATGTTTCTCACGTTCCTGGTGTTCCTCATATTTCTCAAATTCCTTATGTTCCTCATTTGCCTCACAATCGTCATAAGGAATATGAAGAATATGACCAATATAAGGGAAAGCCCGTAGGTGCAATCTGCTGGTCAGTAGCAACGTTTAGCGATATGAGAAAATGTTTAAATGCTAAGTTTTGAGTGTGAGGCATGCGAGGAATATGTTCCTCACATTCACGCTGTTCCTCATATTGCACATATTCGTCATGTTCCCCATGTTCCTCACATTTCTTGCAATCCTCATATTTCTCATTTTCCTTACATTCTTCACAATCGTCACATTCCTCACATATGTGTGGAATATGAGGAATACGCGGATTGCGAGCAATATGCGGAATATGGGGCTTGTGAGGATATTCATCATATTTCCCACATTACTCGTATTCGTCATATTCCTCTCATTCCTCGCACTCACAATAACCATACTTTAAACATTTTCTCATACTGCTAAATGTTGCTTTAGACCTGCAGATTGCATCCATGGCTTAAAGAGGAATTCATCATAATACTTCAATTCGTCATACTCCTCCCATCACCCTCACTCTCATATTCCTCATGTTCCCCACATCCCTCAAATTCTACGCAATCCGCATATTTCTGAATTTCTTGCATTCCACACACTACTGACATACATAGTATTCTTCACATTCGTCATATTCCTCACAGTCCTCATAAGGAATATGAGGCAGATGACGGATGTGGGGGAACATGACGAATGGGATCATGGGGAATTCCTCTATAAAATGTATGGAAGGCCATAGGCGCAATCTGCAAGTCTAAAGCAAGGTTTGGCAATATGCCAAAATGTTTAAAGTCTTAGCTTTATGAGTGTGAAGCATGCGAGGAATATATTGGTGACATTCCTGATATTCCTCACATTCTTCACATTCGCCATATTCCCCATATTGCTCACAATTCACATATTCCTCAGATATCTCGCAATCCGAATATTTGTCGTACTCCTCAGATTCGTCATATTCCGCACAGTCCTCACAAGGAATGTGAGGCACATGAAAAATATGAGGAATGATAGGGATACGAGGAATGTGCGGAACACGACGACTGCGATGATTATGACGAATTGTCTGAAAAATGCGTGGAAACCCGTAGGTCCAATCTGCAGGTTTAAAGCCACATTTAGCAATATGAGATTAAAGCCTGATTTTTGTGTGTGTGAGGAAGCCAAGGAATCTATTCCTCACACGCCTCATTCCTCACATATTGCTCACGATTCACATATTCCTCAGATACCTTGCAATCTGCATATTCATCGTATTCCTCATATTCCTAACATTCCACGTTTTCCTCATATACGAGTAATGTGGTGAATATGAGGAATATCCTCACATGCCTCATATTCACGGCAATCCGCATATTCCTTATATTGCTCGCAATCCACGTATTCGTCATATTCCTCCCGGTCCTCATAAAGAATATGAGGCATATGATGAATGCGAGGATTATGAGGAATTCTATAAAATGTATGGAAGGCCACAGATGCAATCTACAGGTCTGAAGGAGTATTTAGCCATATGAGAAAATGTTTAAAGGTGTGAGGAATGAGACGAATATACTACTCACATGCTTGATCTTCCTCAAATTCCTCGCATTCCACATATTCTTAGTATTCCTCACATTCCTCATAATCCTAAGCTTATTTTTTAACCTAGTTTTTGACAGTCAAATTAAGATGGTACCGGTAATGGTTGTGTAATTGAAAAACTGTTGAACTTTTAGATATTCCTCTGATCCCTTGAGTAAAAGAAAATTTTAAGGCATAAATGTTTACCCGAATTCCATGTAGTAAGTGAAGTACGTTTAGATTCAACAAGTTGTTCTATCAAGATTTAACATGATGACACCGTTAACTAGCAGAACGTCCGATAGGCTGAATGTTCGGTGCTAGTGGACTATCCCTAAGACAAGCTTAGAAGCAACTCAACACTCTTTTTTTCTCGGTGCATGTACGGAGTGGAATCTCTTGCCACGATCTGTCATATCCCAATTTGCCATAGGAACTTTCAGGAGAAGGTTTAGGCTGTATTTGAATATGTAGTTTTACAACGGTAATCAGAATCTGTAGTTCTCTGTTTAAAGTTTTTATTTTTTCTCTTTATATGTAACAATTCCTTCTTGCTTCTTTAGATCTTAACATAGGCGTTACATTCATTTAAGTTTTTAATTTTTTTGTAATATCCTAGACACATTCGTGTTAAAATAAACTGATTGATTTATTGATCAATATCAGAAGAACTATTCCGTTTTCCGAAGTTTTTAAGAGAGGTTCCGCCAAAATATCGTTTATCGTGGCCGCTGCGACCAAAATTATTTTTTTGACTTCAGAGTAGATCGAAAGCGCATTTTAAAAAATTAAGAAAGCCAAACTATCTCAGTTTTTGCGCCACTGTCATTGTTATTCAACCACAATTGTTGATTCGTCAGAATTATAACATCTTGATCTAAATCGAGGATGTGCTTCCATATATAGTGAATTTAGATTTCGATTTTTACCTAGTTCTTGTCTACGTAAGAAGAAAGCATGCCACATACATTCCATTGGTCCATCATACCAATTCTCTTCTGAGATTTTTAGTGCCAAACGGTAAAATGCGACTGGATACTGTCGAATTAATTCTGATGATACTAAAAATTGTGCACAGCACTCTGTCCCGAAATAACGATAGCCTTGTGCTAATTGTTTAGATGACAAATTTCCTATAGCAGTAAATGCAACGTTGTTGAAACCTAGTAAGTGAAGAAACTCTCCTGCTTTGTGAAATATACGTCGAGTGTAAAGATTACAATTAAGATGTAAAAAATTTGGCATTTCTTTTATTTGGAACGCATTTAAGAGCCATGTTAATTGTAATATTAAATGTGGATTATGTTTTTCTGGATGACCGTGTAGAAAAATTGTGTGTTTTGGCAGTACATCGTAATTATCAACTATATATTGAAAATAGACTAATGGTTCAAAACCACGTTTAGGATTACGTAAAGGAATAATTTTTAGGTTTGGCATAGATAAAAATTCTGCACTGAAGTACGTGTTCAAATTCAGCTCACGGATGTAGAAATTGTTCATGTTCAAATATTTGCGCTGGTAGTAATCAAGATGATAAACAAATTTAGTTATGTTGACAAATGCTGGATTTCTCAGCCATTCACCAGTTTCTACGCGGGCTGAATTTTGCTCCCTAGTACGATAAACCATTAAACCGGTAACTATTGAAATACGTGTACCATTTTGTAACGAGTGTGAAAAAATTGTGTTTGAGAACGGTGTAAGTCTGTTTTCGCCATACTCTTCGACTGAAAGTAAAGTAAAAGACAGCTTCAAGTAGAGCAGTTTAATTGAACGAGTTTCGGACTTTATAGAGTGTGTATTATAGCTTGAAGCACAAACTAAATAAAAATTACGATCATGTCAAAAGTAATCTTTTTGGTTTTCGAAAATAACTTGGATCAATCCCATTAGGCAGTACTCATGAGAGCTGTGATAACAGATTAGGATAACGAAAAACCAGCAGATAACGTATCATGAAATAGGCTCACATTTTTGTTACAGTTGATAAATCTCCACAGAAATCTGCCTTTTGAGACCTATATATTTATCGCACTGCAGACTTAAGGGCGCTCACTCCCCTTCGAAATCATCTCCGACGCCATGCATCCGACCTTGAACGTTCAATAAATGTTAGGCGAGTTACGGCAACGAAAATCGCTTTCTGTCTTCAAGTCTTACGGTTTTCTAGACGTCAAGGTCCAATAAGAACTCTGAAGAATTTCCGAAGATTTTTTATTGTACTTCAGGCTAGAGAGTTCGGGTTTGTTTTATTTTAAACTAGACATCTAACTACACGATCTTTCAGTTAGATCATAGTTCGTTTGTACACAACTATCAACCTTAAAAACCGGAAAACGGTTTTCTACAAGTCCTCGATTTGACACTAAGGCCTAATTGAACTCGGCGCCGGTCAGACCATTTAGTTATATGTCTACTTTAGCTTAAAACAAACCCGAACTCTCCAGTTTGAACTGTATTAAAAAATGTTAGGAAATACTTCAGGTGTAACTCCCATGTAGAGAAAACGCTGCATTCTACGCTGAATAAAATGTCCAGTTTTAGGACTTGTAGGACAACGCTTGCAACTTGTTGACCCAAGGTCATACAGAGTTGCGGTGGATCTTACTTTGACCAGAAAAGATTGCTCTACAAATTTACGCGTTGACAACAGAATTAATTGCTTAAATATCCAGGAAAAAGCCTTTCCATAAATGTCCGATTATTATTTGAAGACTCGATTTTTCGAGGCTCCTAGAAAACTTGCTCGAAAGCGCGAAAATCACTTCTATAAGCGAGAGCAATGCAGATGCTGAAAGTAGACACGTCAGGCTATCTTTCCATTATCTAAAAATCGATTTTTTGACCGAGAATCATCATTTCTGATCGAGGGGGCATCTTAAAAACGTGCAAACATTTACAGCATCATCAAGTTCTGTCCGATAAGATTATGTGACCTCATTATGTTGGGTTTTGGGTTTAGGACGTTATTCATGACGGCTAAAAGAACTTACTGTTCAGTATCGTACTAGCGAAACGGCGTCTGGTGACAAAAGTTTCTTCATCCTCCACTATCTGTATCGATCTTTCGTACCAGTTAAGATAGCTGATGACAGTAATACTAAAGATGCATAGTATAGCTATAGCATAAACCGATACCGACCTATTCATTATTATTTGATTCACCTCAATACATGAAACGCAAGAGTGAAAAGAAACGAGTAAAAATTGAAATAAAGGAATACGGACTGCTTTGTTTTCTTCCACTCTTGCCTTCTGTTTGCGTCGTTTTGCTTCTATGATAAACTTTTTTAGCCGTCATGAATGGATGAACTACTGGAAGTATGTGTTTGAAAATTATAACTTGTGGTGTAGCGTTTCATGTATCGAGGTGAATCAAATAATAATGAATAGGTCGGTATCGATTTATACTATAGCTACACTAGGCATCTTTAGTATTACTGTCATCAGCTACCTTAACTTACACAAAAGACACATACAGACAATGGCTGATGAAGAAACTTTTCACCGGAGACGCCGTTTTCTTATATTGAAATGAATCGGTCTTGGTTTTCTTAAATCTAGTTTTGAATCCTGCGCTATGAGTTCTGAAATGAGAAAAACGTATCAACCGCTTGATAATTTTTGACAAGTTTCTTAGGAATTAGTGGCTAGTCTTACTCTAAATGCCAATGATCGTCAGCCCACTTTACCCAAAAATGGAAGTTCTAAAACCACCTGGAACATAGAAAACAGTGTAATTAATTGTCAACTAAATACCCACAATCCATCCAACGTCCGTTAAATGCATCCACCGCATCCAGAATCATCGTCATCATACATCGACCACACAGATCCAGTTGTTGGTTGACATTTTTCCTATTTTGACTTTAAACCGATTAACGCCAGAACGGTATAATTCAAGCAATATACTTTCTCGTTTAATCACTAGATTTAAACGTTTGGTCGTCATTTGCCTATACCGCGAACAGTATAATTTTCTTCCGCGGACTCCACAACTATCACGCTTTCCTATATTCACCCCCTTTTAAGCACGCTTCCAACTACCGCACTTAGCACATCGCAACACCAGAGCATGGACAAGTACAAGTACACAAGTAAAAGTAAAAGTACTTGTACTTTAGAACAGTAATTGTACTTTTACTGGTGTAATTTCAACAAATACTTTCTACTTATACTATGAGCATATTTATTGTCGCCAACGAGGGAATCTCGGGAGGTGTCCCACTCTGCTTAAGCTCATATTTTGCTAATCGATAGGGCACATTAGTCAAGGAGGAAGGCGCCCGCTTCGCCAGTCCGAACTATTGTACGGAGGGCGAAGGAGTGTGCTTTACTCGAGGAGCAGCTGGAGTGGCGGAGTGCGCTTTGCCTCCCCACCCTTGACATTAGTGTAACAAAAAACCTGAAAGGATCTGGGCCCATGCGGTTTCCTTCCGAGTTATGATTGACTTATTGGAATTTCGGTTTTTGGTATTTTCACTGTAACGCTAATTTTATTCTAGAAGAAAACAACACGCTTCGCCAGTCCGAACCATTGTACGCCACTATTGTACCACTCTAACAATGTACGTCCGTCACATTCAATAGCGATTATACGTATGCCAGTCCGTCACACTCATTAGTGATTATATGTACGTACGTCCATAACACTCATTAGTCACTATGTGGATGGTTGTGCATCACATTGTCACCTGACCATCAGAATGTGCGATAGATTTAAACGTGTGGTCGTCATTTCCATATACCGCGAACAGTAAAATTTTCTTCCGCGGACTCCACAACTATCACGCTTTCCTATATTCATCCCATTTTAAGCACGCTTCCAACCACCGCACTTAGAACATCAACACCCGTAAACCCTCACCACTCAACTTCACCCCCATAAACCCTCTACCTGTCGCCTTGCACTTTCCAAGGAAACCGCATTAAAAGATAAAGAATGCCATTGGTCTAAAATACAGCTAATGAAAGCAGAACCAGAAAAATAACGCATTTGCGCACCTATAACTGCAAAAACGTCCCGGTATAAGCTCTTACTCACTTGTCAAATTTCATTGGTCAAAAGGTCGTCCAATGAAAATTAAAACTTAAAAGGAACACAATTATGCACTTGTGAGTGCATAGACGCTTTATCATCAGTAATGACTCATGCCACCAAATCTAATTGGTCAAAATTCAATCAATAAGGATTTGATACGCTCGTACGACTGAACATAACGCACTTATGCATATTTAAGTGCATAGACGCATTATTTTCATAAATGTCTCATCAAAAAACTAACCGATAAAAATGAACTAATCGCCAGATATATATATCAGAACATCCTCTCATTCCAGTACCCTTATGAACACATCAGCGTTATACGTATACACTCATAACGCTTATGGAAAAGCCCCTATACTAGGAGCGAACACATAAGCCCAGCACCTTTTCTAAGTGGTCACTGACGAGGACTACCATTATACTATGTATGTCCGTCGCACTCATTAGTGATTATATGTTCGTTCGTCTGCCACACGCATTACGGATTATACGCATGCACTTTGACCACACTGATTAGTGATTATATGTATTTATGTCCGCCACATGCATTAGGGATTATATGTATGCAACTCTATCACACTCATTAGTGAACTTGCAGCGGGAATAATCCTATTATTTTAAGTAAACAATGAAAAGTGAAGGAAGTTTTCTGGAACATCCATTAAACTCCATTCTCACCGATTCATGATACTTGATGTCGGAAAAACTATGCACATATGATGTTCATACGAGATAATTTATATCTAATGAAACCAAAGTATCAGCGGTTTTACCATGTGTTTCATCATTTTCATTAGTTTTCTGTAGGGATGGCACATTATTATTACTCTAACGAGTAAAATAATACGTTATGTATCAATTTTCAAGAACATTAAGTTACATCATCTAATCTTGATCCAGATGTTGATAAAGATTTATTAGGATTCCGAGTTTAGCGTTTCGTCAAAAATCTGTATCGAGATCTTTGGAAACTTTTCGGAGCTCATTAAATACGTACTAATTAGGAAAATTAGTTCGATTTTCGGACAAAGTAAATGAAAGAAGTGTAATTCTAAGAATTTCACAGATATTAGTATTCATTATGGTACGACATTGCAGAGGACTTGTTCTTTAATGCTATTGATCTACTAGGTGAATAAATGAATAAAATTACAGATAATAAGGCTACGTTCACACTAAAAAAAGTTAAATGAGCTACGACGAAGCTGATTAGTCAGAAAGTTAACTCGAAGTTAAATGATGATTCCAATGCATACAATGATAGTCTAAAGAGATACTCATTATGGGTTTAGGAGCACAATAAGGCATGAAAAAGTTTTTCAAAGAAATACCATGAGAGAAGTGAAAGTCTTATCGAAACATGACCGACAGGGAAAACCCATCCATCATCTCAGAAACAGGTCCATCCATTTACTGACAGTTCATCTATAAGTATCGTTTTCGGTTACCAGTG